CCAGGGACGCCGAGTGGGTTGCTCGCATTGGGACCACTGTTCCAACTGCCGCACAGTGTCGTTTGCCGGACACGTACTGCAGTCTGCAGAGTGGCCGCACAATCATGATTGAAACCCCCTCCAGCTAAACAGGAGTCTTGGTGCTCCTGTGGAAAAGTGGTGGACGTGGGGAAGGAGTGGAGGTGGTGCCGGAAATGGCTGCTTCCCTCCTCGGCTGGGGAGCAGCAATAGGCACCGCCACCTCCCTGGGGACAGCAGCAGGAGGCAAGTCAATGCGGCAGCCTCCTCAGTGAGGGAGCAGCACCGCGGCGGGAGGAGCGAGCGAGCCACTGACTGACCCCGCGCGTTCTGTCGCCAACTCCAGCTCGGCGGGCGAAGGGGCGAACTGGGAAGCTGACGCACCCCCCTCCTCTCTGTCCCCCCTTCGCAACCCTGGATGCCTGCTGCCGCCAGGCCTGAAGCATGGGAGCGCTCACCAGCCGGCAGAACACCGGAGTGGAAGAGGTGGATGTCCCGTCCAATTCCCTCTACAGATACCCCCCGAAATCTGGTAAGGTGGAGCGAGCAGGGGGTGGGGGGAATAGGTTTGCTCCGCTCCCCTCATACCAACCCCCGGATCTCCTCCAGCCACCTGCAGGGCTGCCCGGGTTTGAATGCCGGCGAGCTGGGCCGTCCCCGTGGGCACGATGGCCTCAGAGACCCCCCAGGATCTGCTACCTTCGCTGCGCCGCCTGGGCAACCCTGCGCCGCTCTCCCTGCGCCCCGATCGGAAGGCAGGAATCCTCCGTGGCGGCCTTTGCAAACAGCCTTCCCCGCGGGCTCCCTCAGGAGGTGCCACCAGGCCGGCTGCAGGTGCTCCGCTCCCCACATCCCCACCCCTGGATCCCCTCCAGCCGCGGGTGGGCGGGCACGCCGCTTCCGGCCAGAAGTGTGGCAGTTGCAACCCAGCTTGCGGAGCCCCTCGGGAGCCGCCTGCGGGGCTGCCCGGGTCTGAATGCCGGCGAGCTGGGCCGTCCCCATGGGCACGATGGCCTCAGAGGCCCCCCAGGATCCGCTGCCTTCGCTGCGTCACCTGGGCGAACCTGCGCTGCTCTCCCCACACCCCGATCAGAAGGCAAGAATCCTCCCTGGCGGCCTTTGTGAACAGCCTTCCCTGCGGGCTCCCTCAGGAGGTGCCACCAGGCCAGCTGCAGGTGCTCCGCGCCCCGCATCCCCACCCCCGGATCCCCTCCAGCTGCGGGTGGGCGGGCACGCCGCTTCCCGGCCAGAAGTGCAGCGGTTGCAGCCCAGCTTGCGGAGCCCCTCAGGAGCCACCTGCGAGGCTGCCCGGGTCTGAATGCCGGCGAGCTGGGCCGTCCCCGTGGGCACGATGGCCTCAGAGGCCCCCCAGGATCCGCTACCTTCGCTGTGCTGCCTGGGCGACCCTGCGCCGCTCTCCCTGCGCCCCGATCAGAAGGCATCCTCCCTGGCGGCCTTTGCGAACCGCCTTCCCCACGGGCTTTGCGGAGGGATTTCTCCACGTTTTGCGGGAATCCAGCTCTGTCACTCGGTTTTATGCAGCTCCGCCACTTTCCAGACTGCAAGTCCTAGTGTCAGCACCTCTCCATTAGATAATTAGGAAATTGGTCCAAAAGCGCCTCTTGAGACCACCCTCTCATATAAGCAGCGAGTTGTTGAAACTCCTGAATATATTGAGACACCGGTCTATCCCCCTNTGTTGCCTTTGTTACATTTTGTGTTGTATTTGTGCTGGTAAATAAATAAAGGGAGACTAGTATAGATCTATTTCAAGCTATTTAGCTCTCATCATATATATTTATGTGCACATGTTTGTATGTGTGTGTATGCATGGGGAACAATAACTTCTTTATGAAGATATTATTTGGGGATTTTTTTTATTTTAATATTTTCTTTATATTAGATACTTTAGGTATACAGTATGTACATATAGTCACAAATAAAAAAGACTATTTTTTGAATTGCTATTTACCCATAAAAGTAAGGTAAGGCCAAAAAAAAAAAGATAGGAAAAAGGTAAGAAAAAAGTGTGTGCATGTTTTTGTGGATATGCATTTTAAGTATTTGTCTATCTTTCTTACACAGGAGTTGAAAAACTAATCCACCATCTACACAAACATGACATTCCTATAGCTGTTGCTACTAGTTCATCTCGAGTGACATTTGAAATGAAAACAAGCCGACACAAAGACTTCTTTGCTTTATTTCATCATATTGTCTTGGGAGATGACCCTGAAGTAAAGCATGGCAAGCCACAACCTGATGTGTTTTTAGTTTGTGCAGAGAGATTTGATCCTCCTCCATGTCCAGAAAAGGTAAACATAATCACAAAATACAATAACAATGAAAAATTCAAGCTGTTATATTTTGATCTTTATTTTTTTAATTTTTTTAATGTGAGAGAGTTTGATATTTGATGGCCTTTAACATGTAATGATTTATAATGACTACTGATGGGCTTGCTCCAAAGCTGTTTGTTGTAAAGCAATACTTTAATTGGACTTGGAAAGGAAGTAACAAGATTAATAACTGATTGGGTTGGAGACCACCAGGAAATTCCAGGTGACTCCTCACACCAACTTTAAAAGCAAACTCTGCCTCATGCTTCTTCCAAGTCCACATTTGTTCAAGTTGGTTCTGTCATTAAGGAATGTGCAACAGCTTATTAATATTCAAAGGCAATTAAGACAAAAGTGCACCTGTCCTGTTTGTTATGAACTATCCTTTACATGTAGGGAGTCTCCACTGAGTAGGAAAAAGGGAGAAACTGCCAGGACTGCTCAGCAGTGGAAGATTTTTTTTAAAATGTATGGAGTCCTCAGAGAAAGGTCACTCACAAAACAATCATTTGGGAGGGGGAGGAATCACCCCATTCCTTTTAAGGAAATGTCCTTTTATTTGAGTTTATATTTTGTTTGAAAAAGGAAGTTTACACGGGCAGCTAGTAAGAGGAACAAAATAATAGCTCTCTGCCATTCCAGAAGCTGTGAAAGTTGCTAAAAAGCAGTACATTATTAAATGACTGCAGAATTAGCCACTGTATTAAGCAGCTCATTACAGATAATTTTTTTTAAAAAAACCTTTCATGATAGCGTTTTTGCTGAATCATATATCTTTTGCAATATATAAGATTTTGCTTTTGTTATTGCTATTGAATATAATAATAGGATAGCTATGTTTAATTTACTTCAAAAAATCTTATCATAGAAGTTGAAATTGTCTGTTTAACTGCTTTATGCTTGTCATAACTGCATCTTTATAGCCTCAGAACAAAGAATGAATAGAACAAGAAATTCTTCCATTAATGTTATTACATTTATGCTGTAATGTGTTACTCTGAAGAGACATATGGGGAATAACCAAATATATTTTAAATATTGCAAAATCTTTAGTTTTACAGTGATTTTTTTTGAAGGTTTTTATTGTTTTAATTGAACAAAAACACAAAAAAAGAATCCTTCATTACATCTTGTAGAAAGCGTGTNTTAAAATCTGGTCACTTTAGATATGATGTTGGGGAGAGTGTGAAGAGATGTGTGAGAGGCCACTATGCAGGTTGGGGGATATGCCTGAGGCTGTGCAAGTGGCACACACGGGTTGGAGAGGGTCTATGTGTGTGCAGCCCAAGTCAGGGACACTTGTCTTTTTGGAAAAGCTGGCAGAGAAGGATGCAACCACATGATTACAATTGCAGGGTGCTTGCAACTGGTCATAAGTGGGGACAAATTACTAAGCACTGGATTTCAGTCATGCTGGAATTCTTAAGAGCCAATCGTAACCACATTTCTTCAATGTCATCATAACTCATAACAGTCACTGACCATATGGTCATAGATTGAGGGCTATCTGCCTGAGGTAAAATTGCTTCTTATTTTAACAAACTAATCAATCTCAAACTGAAGAATTTCAATGAATAAAGTATAAAACTTGCATAGCTGACAAAACAGTGCTTTCTTTCTTTTTTTGCCCTTGTAGAACAAGATCACACTTGCAGAAATTTTGCCAGACTTGCAGTGCAAAATTTACATTATTCTAATTGGCAAAATCTCTAAAATACTACAGTTCTCAAATACCTAGCTGGCATATATATCATACAGATGTCCAAATGCTAACCTTACATTGACATTATACATTTCTTGCAGGTCAGATTATGTTACAAACTGTAAAAATGAAAACCGCCAACCTTTCAGAAACTGACATTGCCTGCTCTAAAGGATTTGTTATGTCACTTGTGCACATCTATATTGGAAGGACACATTTTAAGGGCAGCAGAAAACCACATCATAGGCTTTACAAGGGCAGAAAATTGCTGCACAGTACTATGACGTTTGCTTGCTACTGTTTCAGTTACTGAAAATATTTGTTAAGCCATTAATATATTAATATAGGCACTGCTAATATAAATCTTATTATTCATTTCCACAAAGAACTCAGCAAGTTTCAAACAAGGTTACATAAAAAATAAGAAAATGTTTCCTGAATCAGAACAGAACATTATAGGTACATCAAAGATATGTAGAAAAATGAATGTTTTTGCAGAAGAAAATGTGAATGTATAATTATAGAAAATGCTATTTTAATTGATCTAGGACAACATAAATTTTAATCTTAATCATCATTACATATATTCTGTATTAAGTTGTAGAAAAAAAATCCCATTTGGATTTAAAAGCCAATAGAGGTAATAACTCTGGTCACAGGCCATACACTATATACAGATATTTTTTTAAAATTAGAGTACACCATTGCATGTAAATTAGACAATGAGTCTACCTCAGTTCATTCCTTCAGAGATGAACACTTCATTAACAAAAGACAGTTCAATCCAGCTGAGGATTCTTTAGCTACATGAGAGTTGATTTTTCACAGTGCCCTAAATTGCTGTAATATATCTGGGAAAGCAGGGAAATGGAGAGGGTGAGAGAAGTAGGAGTACATGAAGATAACTTCTTCTTTTTCATCTTCATATATACAAGAGCATCCCTTGAAACACATAAATGGGCACAAGATAATGCATTTAAGCTAGAACAGAAGCAGAACAAAGATCTTGTAATGTAAGACCAGCTGCAAGTGAAGATATGAAAGTTCTTAAGGAGTCCATGAAAATAATTTATGAAAGTTTAATCATATATTATGACTAAGTTGTACTATTTTTGGATACTTACATGAAATGGAGTTTCTATAAGAGGAAACGCTTGTGAGCAGAAATGTCTCAAATGCAAAAAAAATGTACTTACATATGTTTTATATGGCATATTACTTAAAGGTACAAAATTATATGCAATAAATATGCATTGAACTGCTGTTGAAATCAATGGAAAACAAAGCTTAAATGGAAAAATAATCTAAATAAAATAAAGGTAGTATTAAATTATTGTGGGTTTTCAAGCAACAATAAAATATTTTTATACATATCCTGAAAACCATGAACTTGTTTACATCATACAGATAAGAATGTGCTTCATCTAAAATTAAAGTTTCAGTGCTGATCTGTTTTGATTCTTATCACCATAGAAGTGTGACAAATAAATAAACAAAATACAAATATCATGTTAGTTAAGTTGTTACCACCAAGTGCCATATTGGTGCTGTCTGTGCTATTTGGGGAAAAAGGATTTTTTTAAAAAAAAAAATGTGGTTTTTTTTATCTAGCTGTATTTACAATGCCCAATGGATTACAATTAAATGAATTATTCCACTGTAATGGTGGGGAAAGGATATCTTCAAGCATTTTTTAAAAGTTGACCTCATTTTCTACCTATAATGAAGAACTCAGCAAAATTTATGGTTTGAGGTGGTACTTTTAAAATTGATTCATCTAATTTGAAAGCAAAATTTTACAGTGGTGTTTTTGCTTCCACACCGAGAAAAAAAAAACATTTTTGTTTACCTCTATAGTTTCTTCTTTCACATCTGATAATTTTAAGAAACAATTTTATTTGTTGACCATTTGCCACAATATAAAGATACATTTTACACATATAAGAACCTATGCTAGTTCTTCAGATTACTCTAAAATCTAATCAAAGTTAGTCATAATTTGAATTAGTCCATTAAAATAAATGTGATTGTCTATATAATAATTATGAGAGTCAATGATGTGGTTAATCCATTAAGTTAAGTAGGAGGCAATAGCAAACCACATGAAAACTGTAGAGATTTGTTCAGGCAGTCACTTGGATTTAACACTAGTTTCAAGCCACACACAGACACACGCTATGTACAAACCAATATTTCATTAAATAATTAAAGGAAGGGCAGCAGTACCTTTTATGTGATTTTATTATTTGATAGTGTTTACTGTATCAACAAGGGACCGTTTTCTAGAAAGTAAAACATAAGTAGATTGATAGCTTCTCATTGCTGGAAAAAAATAAACATGAAAGTGTCAAACACATATTTTTTGTGCTACAAAATTATTTTAAGTAATTTGAATTCTGCAAATATTTTATATGATGATATATAATATGCATATTTAGCAGTAGCTTCAGCTGCAGTGATAATATTGCATCAAAGCATGTGGGAAATATATTTTGGTTATTGGAAGTTATAATTGCTGAAGAAAGGATTACTGTGATGTATTAGGTGCCCTTTTCTTTTTAATTTGTTGCTATTTCTTCGTGTGAAATTAAATGCAATTTTGGGTTTATGGAGCAATGTAAAATATAGTAAGAAATGTCGAAAATAACACTGCACAATATTTTTCCAGCCATAACTGCACTTAGCCTTTGTGTAAAATGCCATGGGCTTCATTCCCAAAGTGAAGCCATTACAAATAGTGATCAAATTTAATTAAGAAATGGTAGAATTGTTCTTATTTGTATCATTAATAATATTTCCCTTTTGTAATTAATTCTTTTTCATGAAAACTGTTTTATTTCATTTTCATTTTCATTTATACAATCACTTATATACTGTGCANGTAGGAAGAATTGTTAAAATAAAAAAGAAGGTTTTAGTTCAAGCCAAAAAATAAGGTGACAAAGAATAGAGGAAAAAAATCAATCTGTTCACTTTAAGAGGAGAAACAGAAACATTATGGTCACTTCAATCCACAAAATATTGTTACAAAGAAAAAAACAAAAACTTTCCAAGGCAGTCCAATAAAAATTAAATTCGCTGCTTTATTCTTATACTTAAAGGACTAATTTATCTTTAAAAAAAAGTTTCTTTGGGCAATCTTTCTCAGAATAGAAAAAAAAACCTCACCTGGACTCACTTTCACTTCCTTCCTTCCAGAGCTGTCTCCGACTTTGTCAGTCTAGGGCTGCCAGTTTGCCGCCGGCTTGAAGCACTTCCCTTGGGTCAATCAGGGACTTTGCGATGTCCCTGAGACCAGCAAGGCTTTGTCTTCCAGTTCACTGTCTCTGCGGGATGGTTTAGGTCCAACTGAACCTTCCAGTGGCAAAAGTGTCAACGGCGGTCTCAGACTGTCAAGACCGCACATTGTATTGTCGTGACATTGGCTCTTCCCCTCAGTTTTACAGTGATTTTTTATTTGGACATCAATGTTTTCTTTTTCTTTTTCTCTTACTGATAAATTATCATTAAGATAATTCAATACCAAAGGAGGCATTAATCTTATCATGTTTGTGTATATATATTCTCATGATTACATATAATTTAATTATTTATATAATAATATAAGGGGAGCCTGCAAGGTAGCTTTAAAATATTAAATTAATATAATCATATGAATGCATTAAATATATATTAATTACTCTGCCATCAAAGAAGAAATCAATTTCAAGAATCTTATTAGAAAAAAGCTTTCAAAGGAAATAAAGAGAATAGAGGATAAATTTAGCAGTGAAATTATGTAACTATTAGTGATTATATTTGCAATTAAGTAGTATTTTTTTTCTTGTGCCTTTTTCCTAGCAGGAATCGAAAGATATGGTAGTTTATTTACTCATAGATTTGTTACAAATATGGGTTTCTTTAAATATCTGTCTAACTTGAAATAGCTTTAATATTGTATTGCTTAGAAAAAAATAGATATTCTTTTCTTACCTGTAATTTTTAAAGTATCTTTATATTGCACATACATATTTGTTTGTTTTATCAGCAGCAGTGGTCAGCTGAAAAGTCACTGTTGGAAATTGGCAAGGAGCTATCATCCTTTGTTTACAATTGTCTCATTTTAAAAAAATCAAGTGTTTTCTATCTAATTTCTCCAAGATAATGAATATTATTACTCTGATCATCAAGGATTAGAAAGTATAATTTTTAAAAGAACCAAGATTGAGTTTGCCATCTAACTGTTGACAGATCAATACCTTTGATCTGTCAACAGTCATAAATTCATGATAAATTTTCAAACACAAAAATCACCTTGAATGAATAAAGATTGTTACTGAGACAAGAATATACTTGCTTTTGTGTTCTCACAAAGACCTACTCCTTGTAGTGTTACTTAAAAGAACTTGTATATTATTTAGAAGAATGTTCAAATCAGATGCAAATGTTAAGCTCTACTTTATGTATTCTCTTATTGTAAGCTGATATCTGGATAGTGTAATTTCTTAATTTTAACTTTAATTTTCTTAATTATTGACAACAGTGAGAAAACTTCCCAAAGCCATTAGAATGGAATTTTATATGTATTCATTATATGTTTGCTATTGTTGAATATGCATTTTATTTTTGTATAAGGAAACATTGTAAGAGTAAAGAATCTATTTGTTCTTTGGTAGAATTGTTAAAACATAATGTGCAAGGAGCATTTGAGACACCATAAAAAATCAGTTCAACTATTTTTATTTTGAGCAACTTATTGGTAAATTATTCTAAAACTTAAAAATGCTATTTATAAAATACATTAAATGATTTTTAAAATTAATATCTAAAAATAGAAACAACTGGTAAGAAAGATTTGCTATATCCTGAAAACTGCTAGGTGGTTGATAAGATGATGATTGATTTAAATATGATAATATTAAAAATCTATTTTTTAAAAACAGTGTTGGAAAGGACCACAGAGGTCTTCTAGTACAACCCTCTGCTTAAGCAGGAGCCCTATACCTTTCCAGTTTCTTTGTAAAAGCCTCCAGTGATGGAGCCCCCACAAAATGATAATAGATTAAAAAATTATTGACAAGAGGGAGAAGCTAAAGAAGGGGAATACAATTAATAAAATGTATAAGGAGAGATTGCAAGAGTATCTTTGGAAGAATTAGGGTTTATATTCTGGAAAATTGTAAGCATTTGTGCATTCAGTAGTGTGAAATGTTGATGGTACCTAAATTGTTTGCTAATTAAGTTACTGGGGAGGGTCCACAAGAGTACAAGTAGGGTACATGAGGTCCAGATATGATTAGGGTGACCAGACATCACGCTTTTGGCAGGACAATACCGCTTTCCAATAATTTGTCCCGTGTCCCGCTGCATTTTTAAAAACTCCCGATTTTTGGCAAGTAAATTTTGGCAAGTAAAAGCTAATTGCAAACGGAGACAAACGAAAGCCGGCAAGCGTTCACTGATAGGGCAAACTGTTTGCCCTATCAGTCAACGCTTGCCGGCTTTCCATTGGACTTGGAGGCATCACCGCATAGCCTGGCGTCCATCGCGCATTGATGACGTTTTGCGCGTGCTCCATACTCCAAGTTGACTAGCGTGGTGTCTCCCCTCCTTTCAGCCTTGGTGCTCCTGTGGAAAAGTGGTGGACGTGGGGAAGGAGTGGAGGGGGTGCCCGAAATGGCTGCTTCCCTCCTCGGCTGGGGAGCAGCAATAGGCACCGCCACCTCCCTGGGGACAGCAGCAGGAGGCAAGTCAATGCGGCAGCCTCCTCAGTGAGGGAGCAGTGCCGTGGCGGGAGGAGCAAGTGAGCCACCGACCAACCCCGCGCGTCCCATCGCCGACTTCAGCTCGGCGGGCAAAGGGGCAAACTGGGAACCTGACGCCCCCCCCCCCCCCTCTGCCCCCCCCCCCTCCGCAACCCCGGATGCCCACTGCCGCCGCACCTGAAGCATGGGAGCGCTCACCAG